GGGTACTCTAAAAATTAGGAACTCTGTTGGGTTCTGGGACCAGAGGGCTCAGGGTACTCTAGGCGGCAATAGATTTGTTTGACATTTTTGGTAGGTGGTGTGCCTCGAGATTTTTACAATGAAAAACTGTACCTTGGCTCAAAAAAGGTTGAAAAACACAGCTCTAAAGAACAGGAACTCTATTTGGTTCTGGGACCAAAGGGTTCAGGTTACTCTAAAGAACAGGATCCCTGTTTGGTTCTGGTTTGCAACCGGCTCTAAAAACAGCTTCCTGTGCTGGAAATACTGGGTCGCTTATCATAGCGATATATATATATTTAAAAATCACATAAAATAACAGAAAATGTTTTAATATTAATATATGATATATATTATATGTCATATTATATATTAATAATAAAATGAAACCAGTCAGCTCCAAAAAGAGCTTCCTGTTTGGTTTGAATGCAGCTTCTCCTTTACAGCATATATATAATTATATATTATAGGATATTAAATAATAATAGTCATAATAATCATGATAATAATAATAATAATAATAATAATAATGATAATAATAATAATAATAAATAATAAATACTGAACAGAAACAGTCAAATTAAAATGTTTCAGCTGTTAAAAGCTTCATGTCTGCAGGGACAAAAGCAGTTCTTAAAAACTTCTAAATACTCTCAGATTAGTCAGACGGGGTCAGGCTGATTGGGGACGGGGTCAGGGGTCAGAGGTCAGAGGTCGGCCTCTCCTGATTGGCCGTTTGCTTCCAGGCGGATGCTGCTGGAACCGGTTCCTCAGGAGTTCTACGTCTGTTTCCACGATTCGGTGGCCGAGGTCCCGGTGGAGATGGCCTTCAGACTCTCCTTCGGTCTGGCGCCGTGACCCTGGGGGGCGGAGCCTCCTGGGAGGGGGCGGGGCCTCCTGGGAGGGGCGGAGCCTCCTGGAGGGAGGAGGCAGCCACCAGGTGCCTTTTCCTGCCTCGTTTCCCTCCATGTGTGTTTTTTTTGTGAGTTTTTACCTCCCGTTTACAAAGCCGGACCCACGAACACGATGCTGCTGACGAATCCACGAACTTGCTGTAATTTAAATTCTGTACAGTTTTATATGCGAGTGAACCCTTTTTTCCTACGTAACGAGCGTTATTGGGCATTAAAAGACGACGTTTTCTGAGCGTTTTGACGTGTTTATTTGCTTCTGCACATTATTCAGGAGAGCTGCTGCCTCCGACCTGTCCATAATTGCGAGGCGTTGCAGACATGGCGAGCAGCGGCGTCGAACTTCAGGCCGTCGCCATGGCGTCGAACATCAGGCCGTCGCCATGGCGTCAGGCAGCGTTCGGCCTTGGGCCGCCACGGCATCCATCCTCAGGCTGCCACCGTGTACAGCCTCAAGCCGCCATGGCAGCTTGACGCGGGACGCCATGGCGTTGGGCCTCAGGATGACGCCATGGCGGCTTGAGGCCGGACGCCGCCATGGCGTCGGGCAGTGTCGAACCTCAGGACGCCGCCATAGCGTTGAACCTCAGGCCACCGCCATGGTGTAAGCAGCGTCCAGCCTCAGGCCGTGGCGTGAGGCGTCGCCGTGGCGTCAGGCATCCAGCCTCAGGACGTCGCCATGGCGTTCGGCCTCAGGACGTCGCCATGGCGTTTGGCCTCAGGATGCCGCCATGGCGTTTGGCCTCAGGACGCCGCCATGGCGTTAGGCCTCAGGACGCCATGGCGTTGGGCCTCAGGACGCCATGGCGTTGGGCCTCAGGACGCCATGGCGTTGGGCCTCAGGACGCCATGGCGTTGGGCCTCAGGACGCCGCCATGGCGTCCAGCCTCAGGATGTCGCTATGGCGTTGAACTCAGGCCATGCCATGGTGTAAGCAGCGTCCAGCCTCAGGACCCCACCGTGGCGTCAGGCACTGTCTGACCTCAGGCGCCGCGGTGTCCGACGTCCGGTCTCAGGACGCCGCCATGGCGTCGAACCTCAGGACGCCGCCATGGCGTTGGGCCTCAGGACGCCGCCATGGCGTCGAACCTCAGGACGCCGCCATGGCGTCGAACCTCAGGACGCCGCCATGGCGTCCAGCCTCAGGATTTCACCTTGGTTTCAGGCAGTGTCGGACCTCAGCCGCCATGGCGTCCAGCCTGAGACTGAGGTGGCGTCCGGCCTCAATGGCGCCCAGCCTCAGGACGCCGCCATGGCGTCCGGCCTGGCCTCAGGCCTCGGCGACATCCGGCGTCCAACCTCAGGCCGTCGCCATGGCGTCGAACCTCAGGATGCCACCATGGCGTTGGGCGTGAGGCGTTGCCGTGGCGTCAGGCGGCGGCCTGCAGCAGGTTCCTGCGGTAGCACTGCAGGCTGCAGAGCGGCGCGCCGGTGCGGGCGCAGCTGTACCTCCGGGGGTTGCTGCAGCCAATCACGGCGCAGCGCGGCGGCGGCGGCGGCGGCGGGCGGGGCGTCGCCGCGGCGGGCGGCGGGACGGCGGCGGGGAAGGAGACGCAGATGCCTCTGATGGAGTCGCTGTAGCGGACGGTGGGAGTCTGGCTCTGCTTGGCCTTCCGCTCCCTCAGGCTGCGGATCTTGGCCTTGCTGGTTTTGGTCAGCCTCTCGATGGTTTGGTTCTTGTTCTCCTCGGCCTTCTTGGCGGCCTGCGCTCGCCGTTTCCGGGCGCGCTCCTCCCGCTTCTGCATCATCTCCGCCGTCATCTCCTTCTCCTTGTAGCCCATCGGCAGCTCCAGCAGCGGCTGGCTCTGCTGCTTGTGCAGGAGGGCTTTCTAAAAGGGACGGGGGGGGGGGACACAGATGGATCTGAGGCTTCTTGATAAATCTGACTATTTCTCTTTAACTCAAAACTCCAAGTTAACCATTTTAACCACCTTTAAAATATTCACTTGTGGAAAGTTACCAGGGAGAAATTAAGAAAGTGATTATACATACATCCATCCATCCATTATACATACAGTGGTCTGCAAAAGTTTGGGCAACCTTGTTAATTTCAATGATTTTCCTTCATAAATCATTGGTTCTTAGGATTAAAAAAAATCAGTAAAATATATCATATAGGAGACAAACACAGTGATATTTGAGAACTGAAACGAAGTTTATACCATTTACAGGAAGTGTGCAATAATTGTTTTAACAAAATTAGGCATGTGCATAAATTTAACAAGGTTGCCCAAACTTTTGCAGACCACTGTATATTGATTTCCCTAACAGCGTCTTATTAAAGGGAAATAATGAGGTGGAGGCGTTTCTCTCTTCACTTAAACCGAGGGGGGAGCAACTCCGGGCCTCATTGGGCGTCCGTCCTGCAGGTTTTAGAGGTTTCTCTGCTTCCACACGCCTGGTTCCAACCAACAAAACTGAAGCACCTTTAGAGGAGACCAGATTGACCCGAACCAGGTGTGGAGAAGCAGAAAAATCCTCTAAAACCTGCAGGACAAAAGCCCCAAAGAGGCCCAAAAAAGAGTCCCAAAGAGGCCCAAAAAGGGCCAGAAAAAATTCCCCCAGGGGCCCCAAAAAGAGTCCTACAGAGGCTCCAAAAAAGGCCAACATAGACCCAAAAAAGAGGCCCAAAAAAGGCCCACAGAGGCCCAAAAAAAGAGTTTAAAAAAGGTCCAAAAAAGAGGCCCACAGGGGCGCAAAAAAAGTCCCACAGAGGCCTGGAGCTGCCCCCCCTCCTCTAAATTTATCATACCTAGTACCTCCTCGTTCCCCAGGTCACATGGGTCAGTATCCCTGCTCCCATTGGTCCCTTTGAATGGCCTCACCTGTCTGGCGGTCAGCAGGGATTCATCCACTTCTTTCTTCAGCTCTCCGTTGTCGTCCAGCTCTCCCTTCTCCAGAGCGTCCAGCCACCTCTCCTCCTCGTCCACGGGCGCCCCCAGCATGGAGTCGGAGTCCATGTCCGGCATCGGGGACGCCGCCAGGTTGCTGTCCTCATCTGAGGCCGAAAACAGAGAAAACTGAGTCTTAGCTTTCACTCGGCGCCTCTCTTAAGAATGTTTCATGTTTTTTTTAGCTTCTCCTTCTACAGTTTGAGTTAATTCTGCCTTTAAAGGAGACATATTATACCCTATTTCAACAAATTAAGCTAGTCCCCTGGTGTCCTAATGTAATGTCTGTGACAAGCTTTGGTCAGAATCCCATAAGGATGAAGCCCAATAGCAGTTCAGTCCCCCTGCCTAACCCTAACCCTAACCCTAACCCTAACCCAAAACAGCCCCGTTCAGAGCGCTCGCTTTGGAGTGCCTGTCTCTTTAAATGCAAATGAGACACAGGCAATCCGCCCACTTCTTCCGGGAGGTGTGCCCACGTCGGCACGCTAACGCTACCATGCTAACACTACCATGCTAACGCTACCATGCTAACGCTCACGCTACCAGGACGTCTGCCACAGAAAGGCGGAGTAAGCTGAGGGGGGGGGGGCAACATGCAGGTGAAAGGCTGGAATATTATAATGAGCTAGAGCTAATGACGTCAGAAACTACCCACTCCTGAAACCTCCTGATTTATCTCCTGGATTCAGACTGAGGCGGCCCACAAAAACATGACTGAGACATTTTTTTTCACACTTTGCCTGCTGATAGGCTCTCCACAGTCCCAAATGTACATAATCAAACGATTAAAAACTTGGTTTTGCATAATATGTCCTCTTTAAATCTCAAATCGAGCAGGTTTCTGCTTTCTTTTAGCTTCACAATGTCACAACTAGGAGCATCCTGTCAGGTGTTTCTTTACGTTTCTGACCCAAAACTCTCTTTAAAGTCGCCCTCTGATCCAGAACACAAACCCACTTTGACCGTCAAGTTTTGAACAGTTTGGAAACTGAGAAATGAGAAGTCGGGCGTCCGCACCCAGCCAGGCCCGGTACTGCTCCAGAGGCACCGAGGGCTCTTCGTCGTCATCGTCCTCCTCGTCATCGTCGTCGTCGTCCACGTGGTTGTCGATGATCATCAGCGGGGTCGGCGGGCACGCCACGCCGGGGTGCACCGTGAAGGTGGGGACGCTGGAACAGACGGCGGCCATTTAGAGCATTTTTATGAGGCTGCAGCCTCGGTCGGATGTCCGACTCCTCCCACATCCAAGTCGGCCCTTTTTTGATTAGGTCATGTGACTAGCAGCTTTCTGAGGCGGAGACGAAACTTTACTGTCTATACGAAATCAGAAGACAAACGATGTCCTAACCCTAACCCTGACCCTAAACCTAACCTTAAACCTAACCCTGACCCTAACCCTAACTCTGACCCTAACCCTGACCCTAACCCTGACCCTAATCCTAAACCTAACCCTAACCATAAACCTAACCCTCCACCCTTCATAATTGTGAGAAATAAATATTTTTAGGTTAAACTTGTTTGGACTTATTGTACAAACCTATTTAACATCCACTATTTTAACATAATATTATGGATAGAGTTTAATTCAGTGTTTGCCAGATTCATTTCACTATTTTTAAATTAATGTCTATATCGCCATGAAGCAATTAGGGATTTTCTTGCCTGGGATCTTCCTATTGGTGACCTAATCAAAATGGCCGACCTGGATGTGGGTGGAGTTGGATATCCATCCTTGGCCGGACGTTTTTGGGCTGCTGGCTCACCTCTTGGTTCCCAGCGTCTGCCCGCCCAGTTTGATCTTCAGGCGGAGCTGTGGCGGCGGCGGCCGGACGACTGGGATCGGTGGCGGCGGCGGTTCGGGCTCCTCGCCGAAGCCGTGGTGCTTCCTCTTGTGCTTCTTGTGTTTTTTGTGTTTCCGCTTGTGGACGTTGTGCAGGCCGGCGCCGCCCTCACCTGGGAGAGGTCAAAGGTGAAAGGTGAACTCACATCAGCCACACAAAGAGGACATTTTACCACAACCTGCAAAAAGATCCGACACAAACTGATTATTTGAGTCGTTTTCGGTCCAGTCTGCAGTAACATTTGTAACAAAACAGAGAGGAATTACAAATATAAACATATTCAACAAAGCGTCCTGTCAGCATTGTGCGTTTGTCACATCTGAGCTGACAGATTCTTCACAAGGTGCACGTCTGAGGGTTTAAAAAACAGAAATCAGCACCTTTTTTCACGGCTGTTACGTTTCAGATGCTTCACAGTCTCATGTCAGTTCTTTTCGCCGCATTCTAAATGTTTTTTCTGTGCCTTAAACATCTGGATTTAAGGCAGCCTTGTGCTGCTCAGATAAGATCTCAAATTCCTTTTCTGTGCCTTTGTTTGAACCTGCTTGGGCTTTTTCTCCCTGTGCTGCTGGAAACTGGAGCAACTAACCCAAAACTCCCTTCTCTGTGCAACACTTCAGCTTTCTGTGTGATTGTCAGCTGGTTTATATATTTTTTTATTTGTCCAGTTATAAGGCAATAATGTCTAAATAACCAATATTGCATATAATTTCCCTTCAGGGATTGATAAAGTGTTTTTTTATTAATTTGAGCTGAATTCAATTCTTCCCAACTGTTTTTTGATTAACTTGATTCTTTTCGGAGCCTTAAAACAATCAGAAATCATCCATAATATAATAACACTTGGAAACAAGTTAAGTAATATTCCAAAAACTAGAATTTGTAAACGTGTCAATGGCATTTCAACAAAAACTAAGCACGTATTTTAAAAATAAATAAGTTTGTTACCAATAGTTTGTTATTATATGAATATTGTCTTTAAATCAAGAATGTGTTCTACTCTTGCCAAGTCTTAACAGTAATAAACAGTCTAAAACTGTTAAAAAACTACTACATAAAACACTCTTGTGAGGGCTTCAGTTTGTGCCCAGATATTCATTATCTCAACGAAACAGGCGGTAGCAACACTTATGGTTTAAAACTATTCATAAAAACCATAATTTGGGATACTCACTCAGAAACCTGGAGTGAATCATGTCTTTCCTTTTCCCCATCTTCCTCTAACGAACACACCGACTCACTAACGCTTAAATAACGGAGGCTGCTGCTGTTCTGTCGGGAATTTATTCGTTGTTTTCGACATTTTTCCTCAATTTGAACATGAATTTGTTTATCTAAGTAGAGAAAAAAAAAAGAAAATAAAAAAAGTACTTATCGGCTTGAAAAGGTCCTAACCAAACCCGAGAAAACTCGCATTTTAGGAATCAAATTACCGCACAGTGAGTGGAATTTGCTAAGCTAAGAAGAGCTAAGCTAACAACACGGAAGTCGTTCTTCTTCGTTGGTTTCTGGTCATTTTTCGATTGGCGGCCGTTGTAACGGTTGGTTTGCTGCCCCCTAACGGTCAGAACCGGAATAAACCGGCTGCTGAGAGGAACTCACCTCGCCGGTAAAGATGAACGGCCATTTTCTTCACTTCTCCGTGAGGTGGGGGGGACGCTACTGCTGCCTTATCCCGTCCAGGGTAATGTAGTTTCAGGTAACTGACCCCGCGGATGACCGCTTCTGCTCTGGCCATCGAGAAGAAATACATTACCCAGAATCCCCCGCGAGGAGCGAAGCCACGCGCGGAAGGTCAGTTACAAAGCCGATCGTGGACCAAAATACGGGTTAAAAGTGGCAAATATTCACCGTAAAGCGCCTTCATTTTCAGTGTTTTTTTCCCCAGAGTTTGTCACCGCTTCTTTTAGTGTTTCCCCCCTTTAAAGGCAGATTTTGACTCATTCACGTTCCTCTAACTTTACAAGAGTTATAAATAAACGTGTTGTAATTAGGCTTTACCTTTACGCGCATGAGCGCGCGCGACAAGTGTTTGATAATTTCCAGTCCAGGACTTTTAATTAACAGGAAACTTCCTGCTTTTCTTGTCATTCAGATTAAAGAACAGCCAGGGTTTGGACATTAGCAGGTCACAGAGAAAAGCTTTATCTGAGGAAACTCTTTTTTTTGTTCTCCGGTTGTTTTTCAGTGGTCATGAATTACGCCCGGTTTCTGACGGCTGTCAGTGCAGCCAGAAAACCTTCACCCATCAGGATGCTGAGTGAGTACTAAAACACATTTTATGTTTGCCCAGAATCCCAGCTCTGTTTATTCTAACTAACCCACTGCTGGGCGTATTCTCAGAGACAAAAACACAAAAACACTCCTTAATTTGTTTTCCTGACAAACCTGTTGGCTGAACCAAACACTTGATCTGACTCACGAAAGGGTTGTTTTGACACGTCTATTTGCCACAGAAAACATGTTTAATCAGGTAGATTCTGATATATTTACAGATTTTCTGTCAGATTAATTGACAATTTAAACACAAAAAGACGAATAAGTTTGACTTTTTCATGAACAATGCCGTTAAAACATCTTTAGAAAGTAGAAAGTAGAAAGATTTCTTGTCTAGTCTGGGTTAACTGTTACTAAAATAAATTATAAATATATGTAAATTATAAATATGAAAAATATAAATATAATGATACATTATAAGTATATGTAAATATGAACGAATACGAAAAAAATGGACATTTAAAATGCCTGTTTGATGTTTTTAAGAGGATTTACATGTTCACTTTGAGTCTGTTTACATTTCACATTGTTCACATTCACATTGTTCACATTGTTTACAACAGATTTCAGACACTCTTAATGAGTCTTATTAGTATTTAGTTTTTTAAGTATGTGCAGAATCCTTAAAAATCTAGAGTCCAGTTTCTTGGAGGCATCAGTCCTCATTAAATTCTTCTAGATTCTGATGCGTCTCACAGTTTCTGCTCCGTTTCTTTCATAATTTGAGCCTCTATCTCCTTCTTCTCCACCCGTCTGCGTCCTGAAGCGGAGCTGCAGCAGCGGTCGCCCCCCTCCATGATCTCTCTGGCGGGCGGAGCCCCGAACCCCGACACCTTCCCCTTCCAGTCCGCCTCCGTCCAGGTGAAGGGCGGCCGGACGGTCACCTTCGACGAGGCGGCCATGAAGAGGGCGCTGCAGTACTCCGCCTCC